AATAGGTTTTGTTCAACCGGCTGTTTCCCCGAGCCGCCTTCTTCTAGCTCAGCCGGCGGGTTTAGGGTTTAGGGTTTAGGGTTTTAGGGTTTAGGGTTTAGGGTTGAGGGTTTAGGGTTTTTGGGTTTTTGGGTTTTAGGGTTTTATGGTTTAGGGTTTAGATCTCCGGCTTCGTCCCTGTAGTAGTCTCCGCCACGCGCGGTTTCCGTCTAGCCGAGGGTTGGTTCAGGTCATGGCAGGGCTTAGGGTTTAGGGTTTCAGGTCTTTGGAGATTCGCATTCAAGGTTTGGGGTTTTGCGTCTGTAGGTTGTAGGGTTTAGGTCTTTTGGTTTGAGGGTTTAGTGCTTTGGGGTTTCAGGCTTAGGGTTTAGGATCACGATAAGGACCGAACCCTTTTGGGGTTTATATACTAGTTGCGGTCCTCTGGTTTGTGAAACTGCCGATTTCGGGGAAGATCAAATAACGAAGGAATAGGTTTTGGGTTTAGGCTAGATGTTGGTTTCTTGAAAATGGGTGTATCTGCCCTGCGGGTTTTTATGATGGGGCATCCTACTACTGAGAGTTTTATATAGGCCCATATGTGCCGATGAGCCGTGACACAAAGGCTGTTCCGGGCCGTGGTACACTACCGGATGCAGTTGTCTCAGTGCTGTTGAACCCAGAAACAACATGTACTCCCAAGCACCATACATCCTGAGTCCCAGAGCCAGATTGGAATCTTGTGTCCAAAACCTGTCATGTCGGTCGACCCCCGGCGACCACAGGGACTTGAACAAACAAAAGCTCATAGGACCCCAGAAAATTCAATATAGCCCCGTAGAGCGCATTGTGAACTGCTCATGTCCTTATGGTCTCTTTAAGGGCCTGTGAGGTTCCTCACCTGGGACGTGGCCGCTCGCTGCAGCCATTGGGTTCGTCGGTTTGGCTCAGGGATTCCAGGATTCCAGGTCTTGGGGATCGAGTTGCAGTGTCATCCTAGTGATAAATGTGCCGCAGAGTTAGCATGATTAGGCCATACGAACAACCGGAGAATCGTAGTGGCAGCAAAGCCCGTAGATGGTGGCGGTGCTGTTTGTGGTGGTGGTGGCGGTGGTGGTGGTGGTGGTGGTGGTGGCGGCGGCGACGGTGGTGGTGGTGGTCGTAGTGGCAGTAGTTGTTGTTATTGTTGTGGTGGTGAGAGAAGAAGTAGTAAGTAGTAGTAGCAGCAGCAGTGGTAGTAGTGCCGTAGTAGGAGGAGTAGGGGTAGGAGTTGGACTGAGTAGGAGTAGGAGTAGCAGTAGCAGTAGCAGTAGCAGTAGCAGTAGCAGTAGCAGTAGCAGTAGCAGTAGCAGTAGGAGAAGTGGTTAACAGTAGTACTAGTATTAGTAGTAGTCGAAATGGTAGTAGTAGGAGCCGCAGCAGCAGCAGCAGCAGCAGCAGCAGCAGCAGCAGCAGCAGGCAGCTGAATCAGCAGGAGCTGCTGCTGCTGTTGTGCGCCTCCTACTAGATCTACTCCTGCGAAGCCAGTGGTATGATTGCCCTTTTGTACTGTTTGTTGTCCACAGTTGTTCAGGAGCCGGTAAACAGGACCACCATGTGTTTTCAGTACATGTATGTAACCGAGATCAGGCAACAGCCATGAGGAGAGGAGCTATTATGGGATACGGGAGGTAATCTGATGAAGTAGCGACCGAGAAGCCCAAAGCCGTCCACGCGCTTAGACACCTGGGCTCTTTAACCCTTAACACCTACACTGCCTACACCCCCAAACCGCCTCTCCTTGTGCCCTCGACTAGATCCCATACCCTCACGTGGCTTCGCGAGTTGAGGTCGTCATTCCTCTGCGTTTCTTCGACATACCCCGATCAGCATTCTCCGAAGTGGCACGGTTGAGATCAGGAATCAGGAAGCGTTGACACTATCGGGTTTAAGGGTCTGGAGCTCGGGCGTCAGTGTCTATAACATATTTATCTATTATACATATATATATATATATGGAATTTGGGGTCTATAGGGTTCAGGGCTATTCGGCTATTGAGCCTTATGTATCGATGTCAAGCCTTCGAGTCTCGGCATCTGGATTTTCGGCCGAGGGCCGGGATTTTTCGGTTGAGTTTAAGCTGTTTGCTTTGTGCCATACAGCGGCAACTAAGAGGAATACCAGCTGCCAGCAGCAGTTGCAGCACAATGTCCGCAACACAACTTGCAAGTAATAGCCCTGCTGTAGTAGTTGCAGTAGGAGCAGACTCGTCATCGTGATTGCAGTGCTTTGTGCCCAGTTCATATTCGATCATCAGCTTACGTCGATGTTGCGGTCGTATAGTGGTAGTGACTGTTGTAGGAGTGGCAGCAGTCGTCGTCGTCGTCGTTGTGGTCGTCGTCGTCGCCGAGCACAGTGTCATCAGTAATTACCGCGTGGTCGGGCAACAAGAGGACGCACTAACCCCCGCATAACACCCCATGTAGCAACCGATATAAAGAACCCTTTAAAGCAGGCCTTAAGTGGCACCCTAGTCTCATTCATAAGACCTCTATATTTTACGTTTAAAGAATGCTGTTGCGGCCCTATGCTTACGGGGTTTGAGGTGTGGCTCGTTCGAAACGATTAGGTTTAGGGCTGAGGGTTAAACGGCCTTAGTGATCAGACTAGGGCTTCTTTTGAATGCTTTACTTTGTTCAATGCATTACTGCAAGGGTTTCGTATAGGGGCCTTAATCATTAGAATAGGTTTTGGGTTCCTTGTAGTGTAAAATGAAATGAGGTAACTAAACATATGAAGGAATCTGGAGGATCAGTGCTACTAATCATTCGGGCCCTTATATCACTGCCTCGGCCACATACGTAGTCCTGAGCCGTCCAGGCCACGAGAAGTGATAGATCAGAAAACGCGGCACACAGAGCTGCAGCTTCATTCTCGCAATTTTTCCCACACCAGAGAAAACTGAGTCTGAACACCCAACATACCTTAAACCCTATTACTATCGACCCTAAACCAGCCCCAGATTCTTAATTGTCAAGGTCATGCTGTGGTTGACACTGGTGTACTGGAAGCTCGGGCAGCAAAGATGATACCGGGCTGGGGGGTTCAGGAGAGTTGGTGTCGATTTCAAGGCTTCCTGGGCATGGGATTCCATGGCTCCCTGATACTGATAGTTCATGATCCTAAACCCGACACCCGAAGCCCAAAACCCCAAAGCCCTGACAACCCTAACCCCTGAGCGCTACATTCCAGACCTGAACCGTGTTCAGAATTTTTTCAGAAGGAACACCAATCAGAATTAATCTACTTATGCACATGTTCGAGAACTCGACTCTAAAATTGCAGCGCCTCTTAGGGACAACCCTAAACCCTAAACCCTACTAGGGGTCCGTTGTCTACTTCGACCCATAGTCAGATCCGGCCGACCTTCAACAAGCTACCTGCGGATGTTGAGGGTTTAGGGTTTAGGGGTTTCGGGGGTTTAGGGGGTTTAGGGTTTAGGGGGTTTAGGGTTTAGAGGTTTAGGGTTTAGGGGGTTTAGGGGTTTAGGGTTTAGGGTTGAGGCCTGAGAGTTCAAGGTTGAGGTTGAAAAGTCGAAGCCGGCCGCTGCTTTGATCAGGAATGTCGACATTATCATCTCCTTTCTGACGGGCTACTACTACAAAGGCCAGGGTCCATACCGAGACAACAACAGTTAGAGCTTAAGTGTAACCCTCTGATAAACGCATGCCTGGCCGATACCTTCCTATCATTCGTGGCAGCGGTGTCGTCGACGCCCCAGCAGACGGACAATGTGCCAGGTGCTGTTCTCGGTGCAGATAAGCCTGCAGCAGTGAAAAGTTGTCTTTTCAGTAGCTCGGAATGTACAGCCGGTGCTTACTTGGCAGTTTAGCAGCAGCAGTTGCAGTTGTTCAGTCCTTGTCGCCGTCGTAGTCGCAGTAGCAGTGGCAGTGGCAATCGCAGAAGCAGTGGCAGTAGCGGTAATCAGTAGTAGCGGCTGTCCTACTGCTAGTCGTCCTCTTCCTCCTCCTGCTACTACTACTACTACTACGACGACGACGACTACTACGACGACGACTACTACTACTGCTTTTGCTGCTGCTCCTGCTCCTGAGGCTCCTGTAGTTACTACCACGACTCTGGTGCTTGCTGCTGGCAGGGTTTTGCTTCCGTGGCTCATGACGTGTTGTTTCTTTTTCTTTGCAGAGACATCGTTGTCCTGGCAGGGATGCTGGTAATGCGCTTCAGCAACGTCGTCTCCAACTACCTAAGGCCGGCTTACTTCACGAACCCCAAACCTTGAGGGAAAGGGCCTAGGGATGCTTAGGGTTCATCACCCTAAACCCTAAACCCCTAAACCCAACTATCCCAAGTGAAGATGAGCAGATTACCGACTCCGCGGAGTATGGCAAGAGGGTGGGCTAGCAGGGTTCGCATGGGTCAGGGATGCCACGACGGTGTTGAGTGAGCCGATGTGAAAGGATGAGTGTGACATCGAATACTGCCATTTCAGGGATGCCGTATTTTCGTACCAGGTCCGAATAGGGGACCAGGTTGCCTGCCCGCAAGGGTTGAGACGCTTAGCACCGCTTGGCAGTCATCAAAAGGCCGTCAAAAAAAAACAAAAAAACCCTAAACCCCTAAAACTCTTAAACCCTAAACTCTCTAAACCCCTGAAACTCTTAAACCCCTACAACCCCTTAAACCCTATAAAACCCCCTAAACCCTTTAACCCCTTAAACCCCTACAACCCCCTAAACCCCAAAAAAACCCTACATAAACCCCTACATAAACCCCCTGTATAAACCCCCTACACAAACCCCCTATATACAAACCCCTACATAAACCCCGGATAGTCCCTCGGAGGCCGGGGCCCCGGGCCCGGAAGCGCGCTTTCGACTCGGAGAGGCTCTCGCCGCCTCGGAGAGGGCACGGTTTAGTATAGCTTATAGGGCTTTAGGGCTTACAATGGGGTTTAGGGGTTTAGGGTTTTAGGGGTTTAAGAGTTTTGGTGAGCCCAACCTTTAAACTCTCCTGTCTTTTAGGGTTTTCTTGGGGGGGCACCCCTCTCTTGCTTGTCGCATTTCTTGTCTCCCTTTCCTTTTTGACTAATCTTCCTGTCCCCCCTGCCATTGATGGTGCTTTTTTCTGAGGTGCGGCCAGGAACACCGATGGCCAACTGCGCAAAGGTCTTCACCTGCCGTCTTACACCATGCGACAGCCTGCGATGCGACTCCATCCTCTCGGCCTTTTCTCGGACGGCAGAGATCCCGCGCTCGTCTGAGGCATTCAGCTCCTGTTCATGAGAGGCCGCTGCCGGGTCTACCTTTCCAAACCCAGTCTCCAGTCTGCGGGGCCTTGATGCGGAATCGCCAGTCCTTGCCGAAGAACTGCTTCATCAACGCCAGGGCCTCAGGGACTTCGAGGGGGGTGGTGACTTTTTTGCAAAAACAACCCAAGGGCCGCCGACCACCGTCGTTTTGCCTGTTCCGGGAGGCCCATAGAACCTCGGAGGGCTGAGCCTTCGAAGGCCTTCCTCTGCCCAACGCTGGGGCCCCCCACATGAGGTTCGGCAACTCACCTGCTCAGCCGTGGCCCTTCTCAGAGCGCAAACTACTACGAGCACAGCCTTCTGAACCTGGCCTGTTTGAAGGCTGTGCTTCAATGCAGAGACCACTTCCTCCTGGTCAGGGGGGGAAAAGTCGAAGTGCCTCTTACTCGAAACTGTACCCCCCGTGGACCCCGTCTCGCAGTCGTCGTCACTGTCTCCTGTTGGGCGACCTCCTCGATACGCTCCGGCCGATACTTCTCTACCCATGGTAAACCTGAAACCGATGCTGCGCCATCAAAGCAGGAGATCTTCCAAGGCTGCTCTTGGGCGACGGCCGGGCTCCATCTGGTCACTCTGCCCAGGCAAAGGAACTCCCGTTCAAAACCCCCGAAGCCCTACAGTTCCTCCGAGCCCGAGAGGAAGCAGGACCGCCAAACAATCACCCTCCCGTTTCCTCAGTTTCCTCCCTCTGCCTTTTTGTTTTCCGGAGCAGCTCTCACTCGGAGACTTTCCGGGTGAAACACGAAGGCGCCTAAGCTGGAGCCCGCCCTCCTATAGTTAGAGAAAGCGGGCTGACAGGCAGAGGCTCAGACTCAGAGCGAGCGCCGCAGGGAGGAGCCTCGGCCTCACGGCGCCGTTGCAGTTCACCTCGCAGCTCCCAGAGCTCGCAGAGCTCGAACCTGCGCGCGAAATAGACGGACGCAATTTTTGGGCAGTTTGTCAGAATTCCAAAGGCTGAGGGGGCGGCTGTTCGCTTGTTCGATGCTGGCCGCAAAGCTCGAGCAGAGATCGTAGGTATGGTTGTTCAAGCAAGAATCCACATAGGAGCCTCTTGAAAGACAGAACATCGTGCACTTCAAGCAGTCGCAGTCCGTCTCCTTAGCCGGTGGGTTCAACAACAGCCTGTCCCTATAGACCCTGCGCGAAACACCAGGAATAAGGGCATTCTGAATGCTGGCCAGGGATCCGCTGCTTTCAGCGTACAGGAAGGAGGTCCGCAGTGGGACAAGCACATTGCGACATGCTTTCGCACCTCGGAGAACTGCCCGCTGCTGAAAGGATTCCCCCTTGGGCAAGCTGGGCCTTGTTGTGTTCGAGTCCCGCAGAGATGCTCCCTCGAATGATCTCGTTGCCGTAGCCGCAGCCATCGAACCTGCGCGAAAGTTAGCGAAAACACAAGAAATCTCCTGGCTCTGACCATCGGTGGGCAAATTTTTGGGCGGGAAACCAGTCGACGTCGCCCGGTACTTGGCGCCAGGACGGAACGACCCGCTGAGCGGCAGCAAGAACCAACGCGAGAGCGGGCGCCCAAGGCGCCAGCATTCTCCCAAGTTCGCTACGACATGCTTCGATCCATGCTGAGGCGGGTATACAGGGCTTCTACCGCGCTTTCCAAAAAAACAATCTGCACGCACGTCTCCCTTCCCACAAGCTCTTTTTTGAGACACAGCCCACGGCTGTCAGGTGGAGCACGCCACTCACTTCGCGTTCGCCTTCTGCGGAACACAGGCTGCCATGGCCCAGAAGAGCGGCATGCCAGCAAAGGTGACGATGGCCTGCCGAAAAGTGCGCATGCATGCGCCGCAGCATGCACTGAGAAAGGAGAAAGATCGAGACCCTGACATCATCCCGACAGCTTTAAGTCAAGCAGCACCGTATGGACTACCAAGCAGTCGATACCACATTACATGGAAGCAGTAGGCGTAGAGCGACCACTGTCCCAGCCAGGAGGTGATCCGATGCGGATCCGAGGGTGTGAAAGCACCGGCCATAAAGCAGACAACCAAGATCAACTCCCCGAGGAACATGCGGAATCTCTCCTAAGCCGCCAGAGACGGTAGTGGCACCACAAAAGAAACAGCTCCGAACATGACTGCACTGAAGCCAAGCATCCCAAGTGGAGTATGGCGAATGCACATCACAACGCCCCCACATATCCGGCATTGAATCTAGGCAGAGGAACATAAGCAAAAATGGCCAGTAGGCCTTCACTGCAGCGGCTATGTGTTTGCTTCCGGCCAGTGGCCACTGGAAAGTCAACATGCCAGCGATGTTCAAGTTCACCAAGTGAGCAAAGGAATCCTGATCCCATGGCACAATGACCATTTGCAGATAGGTGAATGCCAGCAGGACCCAACCGACGAGGCCGGTGTTTTCAGGTTGGCAGAGGATGGTCGCAAGCAGACCCAAGAACAGCGTGCCCGCAACATGAACCAGAATTATCGGAGTATGCCGCAGAATGGGCGCATAAAGCTTGATCCAACGAGACACTTCCTCATCTTCGAAGGTCTGAGTGACGAAGTCTGGGGAATCGCCAGTGTAGCCTCTTACGAAAGAGGCGAGGGCCACAGCCGAGACGGCACCCCAAAAGACCGTAAAGGCCACCGTGGCTCTGGAGACGCTTTGGCCCTCTTGGCGTGACCTCAGAGCTTGCCGCAAGGGCTCCGCAAGCGGTGCCATGATGAGGAGCATGATCACGAAGAACATCTGGAAGATCGTGTTCCCGAAATCGTGCCGCCAATCCCGATGCTTTACCAAATCTGCGAACAAGTTAGCAGAGACTCCTGCCGTAAACACCACAACCAGCCGAATGACGTATCCCCAAAGGCTCGACTTCGACATCATGGACGACATCCCACTGGTGATGTACAAGTACGGCAACGCCCACCACAAGCCGAAGCCCACGTTCCTGTGGGTGTAGGTTTCGCCGCCTGGATGCATCATCGTGGACAGTCGCGCTTGGGGCTTCGCAAATGATTGTCATGTTCTCTTTATCCAATTTCTGACCGCACCCTGGAGGACACTGAGCTTGGCTGCACAAGCCACAGTTCTTAAGCATCCTACTAACAATAATGTTTTCCAAACCTCTCCTCTAGCTCTCTCAACTCGTCTGTCTTCTTTATCAGATTCGTAAGCCTCTCTTCTTCCTTCGGGCTTAAGGGGCGTCTCAAGCCCCCCGGCCCCCAGGGGCCTCCCAATGTTTGGGGCTTTCGGGGGTAGGGAACAGTCGGAAGGGGTTTCTTCCCAGTAAGCCTCTCTCTCTCTCTCTCTCGTTATCTTTCTTCCATCCTCTGCTTATGTGCGTTGCTACTCAAGCGCCGAATCTAAAACTTGCATTCAACAATATCCGCACCACATCTTCCATGTTAGCCTCACATCGTTTTCGTTCAGGACACATGATCTAAAGGCAAAATACCTTCTGAATATTATTAACAACCTAGCAATGGAAGTAAAACATTCAATAAATTAAGACACTTGTTACGAGATTTCCGTCTCCTGCTTATGAGGCTGTTGAAATCTGTGATTACTAACAGTGATTACAGAAACCCCAAACATTGAAGCAGAAAGGCGATATGGAACTTAACATTATTTGACCTATCAATGAATTCAGAACGCGGACAGCACAACCATAAGAAGCTAAAAGCAATTTATGAAGACACTGGCAACGAAGAGCTTATCAACAAGCACGCTGAATATACTTTTCTCAGGCTTTGACCAAGAGCTCTCCTGATGACCGGCATGGTAATTATAACCCCTCCAGAGCCACTGGAAACGCGAGCTTGGGCTTTTAATTAAGCTATTTTTGCAGCAACATTGATTATTGTAAGATGCTTTTCAATCTGAAGCTTAGTACCGTGATATATTGTGTTTGCATCAAGAAGTTTGTCTTCTATCAAACGCTGTAGTGTGCCACACATAGCGAAGTCAATATAGTGTAAGGTTTGTGGCACTCCACCGGGAGCCGGCGCGGACGCCGATACGTTCTGCTCGGCAGGGATCTTCGCTATGGAACCAGGCCAGTGGTGCCACTGCTTGGTGGACGATTCCGCAACCTGCAACTTAGCCTGCAATGCGGTATCGTAGACCACGGCTCAGACTCGCTCCTCAGAGCTGTTAGGCTTGTCGTTTTTGCCTTTCCCTTTGCCCGTTCCCTGCCCACCGGTTGCACGCGGCTCCGGCGCGGGCGAACTCAGCGAAGAACTCAGCGAAGAGTCCTCGCCTTTGGCTACTCAGCGGCCTTTCTACGGCACAAAAAAGTGGTTTGCCCGGAATACTGCCGTGCTTGCAACACTCTCCCGTCCCCCCAGTCGCCGTCACCAAACCCGGGCAGATCGTCGCGGAGCGAGTAGGTGAACACGCTAGTTTCTCCATCTTGAGCGTCTTATAAGCTGCTCGGCACGCTCTCTGTGCATTTTGTTCACGCTGCTTCCTCATCTCCTGTACGATGGCCATCAAAGCCGACTCGTTACCAAAGTTATGCGTCGACGAAGAGATGTCGAAGAGCTGAAGCCTGAAGCTTGCCGCTCGTGGCTGGGCCACGGTCTTTGGCCGAAGCACAGTCAAAGAAACCTGCAGCATACCCCGGCGGCTTCGCAGGCTCGCCTGCATCAGGTTTTCGACTGCGGCTCCTCGGCGCATCGTCCTCGTAGACGGGCCCCACTCTAGCCGTCTCACCCAGCAGGAAGTCGCGCGCTGGGGTTCTCCCACAGCCAGTCGTGAGAGGAACGCACGGACCCCGCTGAACTCGGAGGCAAACTCCAGGCGTCTAACGAGTTCTCGGCCTTTTCTCGAAGAGACTGCAGCCGGGCTTGCATTCGACCCGTAGAGTCGGTCCCTCTAACCTCCTGGTAAGCTTCTGCGGCACCCTTGTACCGGTAGTCGGCACCACGTTGCTGGCAGCTTGCTGATACCTGCACTTATGGCGGTCGGGACCGTCCGGGCGTGCAGCGGCCGGCGTGGAACCGCACAAGTTGGAAAAACGCGTGTATAAGCTGTTCTTAACTGTGCCTCTCCGAAACGTCTGGACAGGCCATCTCTACACCTTGCCCAAGTCTCACCTCGTGCTCCTCGCGTCGCGCGTCTCAGTCTCGGGATCAAGAGGACTCAGGAACGAAGACTCCAGCTCCGCCAACATGGCGCCCTCCTCGGGTCCTCACCCACGAAGTCAGGAGCGGCAGCGCCCCGCTGAAGTTCTCGAAGGTTCATACGAACAAACCGAAGGCCGCTCGGCGGGCTCGCCTCGGTCTCCTCGACCAACACGGTCGGCAGGACTGGCCGGTGCTGTTGGAGGCTCTACTCCGCCAAAAGCAAACGCAACCTGCGAGTGCACGCTTCGGTACACAGCGGGCTCCACGTGGTGGTACAGCTCAGCCACCTCGCTGGTCGTGACGGAGAAGCCACGAGCCATGAGAAGGTGCCATACCGTTACTTTTGATCCCCATGGATGCTCGCGCTCCTGACGCGTCGAAGCGGGACGCGAAGGCTCGGAGCTCCGGCCACGGGCTCCAGCGTCCAGCGAAAGAAGGAAGCGTCACTCGAACGCGACCTGTTTTACCTAGTGATTTCCTAAGGGTCACAGAACAGGGTGCCGGAGGGCTTAGCTGTTTGTACATGTTAAAACCCAAGCAGCAGGCGTAGCAGGCTGCCGTTCCCGCCCGCGGGCGAAGTGTACAGTCCAGGGACTCGGAGCACTGCGGGCCCCGGTCAGCAGCAAGGGCTCTCAAGCTACTGCGCATGCAACAGGCACCGCTAGTGATTTGATTCCTTGATGGCTATTGCGCTATAGCCTAGTTCTACGCTAATGCAAAGGGCGCAAGTATTCGTAATAACAATAATAATAACAATAATAATAATAACAATAATAGGAGTCGTCGTCGTCGTCGTCACAGTGCTTGGTCGTGGTGGGTAGTAGTCGTCATCGTCGTCGTCGTAGTCATAGTCGTCGTAGTCGTCGTAGTCGTCGTGGTCGTCGTAGTCGTCGTAGTCGTCGTAGTCGTAGTAGTCGTAGTAGTCGTCGTAGTCGTCGTAGTCGTCGTAGTCGTAATAGTCGAAGTAGTCGTAGTAGTCGTGGTAGGTGTAGCAGTCGTGGTAGTCGTAGGTCGTCGTAGTCGTCGTAGTCGTCGTAGTCGTTGTAGTCATAGTAGTCGTCGTAGTCGTCGTAGTCGTAATAGTCGAAGTAGTCGTAGTAGTCGTGGTAGTCGTGGTAGGTGTAGCAGTCGTGGTAGTCGTAGGTCGTAGTAGTCGTAATAGTCGAAGTAGTCGTAGTAGTCGTGGTAGGTGTAGCAGCCGTGGTAGTCGTAGGTCGTAGTAGTCGTAATAGTCGCAGTAGTCGTAGTAATCCGAGTATATCCTAGTAGTCGTAGTCGTCGTAGTAGTAGCCGCAGCAGCAGAAGTAGTAGTAGTGGCAGTTGTCAATGTCGTGAGTTGGACACCAGACACAAGTCTTGTTTGCTTCTTCTTACGAAGACTTCGATGACAGCCGTCGCGGCAGCTAGCTGCCATCACCAATGAAGGCAGGGTCAGCGCAAAAAAACTGTAGAGGACAATCACAATCGACTGAGGCTCTTGCCACTGTGCTCAAAGATGACGCACATCACGGCACAAATTCTGGCAAAGTCGACGTGCCAAAGCCGCGTCGAAGCGGCCTCTGTGCTTGCTTCACCACCTTCGCCTCGCTCTTCCGCACGCGGCTTGCCCGCACTGTGCCGTGTGGAGGCAACCAAGATGACACAAACACCGCACAACAACGGCAAGAACGCGCGGGAAGTGGCCGTGTAGGTTCCGTTGTCGAAAACATCGCCATGACAGGACGTGGTGCGGACATGGAAGAGCCAGTCACCAGAAAAGTTCTTCAGATCTTGCTCTGTTGGGGCATCCCCGCCGTCTCCTCGAGCTGCGGCGGCTTTTTGAGTCTTCAGATCTGAGGCAGATCCAGGGGCAGTTGGGGCACCGTGCGAATCCACGACGGTCAGAATCTTCTCCCTCCCCTCCCCTCGCAGCTGCTGACCCGTCAGCGACAGAGCCGCGACGAGCCTTGCAGCGGCAAGCACAACATATATGGACATGTTCGGTCTCGAGCTAAGCCCTGACGGAGCCGATATATCCGCCGGGGCCAGGAATGAGAGGAAGCCTGTAGCCCTATAGCATCGTCTGATTGTGTGCAGGGTCAGCAGGGTCAGCGGGGTCAGAAGGGTCAGAAGGGTCAGAAGGGTCAGAGCGAGAGAGGGGGAGGGATGCACGCGCCGCGCGCCGTGTCTTTCTGAGAGACTTGCCCGGTCTACAGGATCAGACACGCTCGATGATCCAGGTAATAATGAAAATGGAAAATGCCAGGACTCCTGCGAGAGCTACTCCAAGTCCGGCATTCACCGTCTCTACCGGCACAGGGATGCTCTGAGCTCTCACGTCAAACTCGTGCGCCAGGCCGATGCACTGGTTCAAGCCTCACACAAGTCCCCAAGAAAAGCCGGATAGAAGTCGAACAAAAAGGGAGCGGATGGAGGCGGATGACGTCCCTATGACTGCCAAGGTGCAGAGGGCCCCATGCGCCCAGTCCTGCGGCACGTAGAGCAGGTCGCCGCTTTGCTGCAAGACTTTCAAGCCCGGTGGCCCGCCGCTGGCGAACAAATCCTGGGCAGAGCGCACTGGCTGCTGAGCTGTGCGCTGCTCATGCGCATGCAGATCCGCTCCTCGTAGACGGTGGTCTTGCGGAACTCCTGCTGCGCAGGAGGCTTCAGGAACCAAAGCTTCTTCCCGAAGAGCAAAGAGTTCGCCTGGGCGACAAAAGAGACAAGTCTTACAAGTGCAGTGACCGGACTCTGTTGCCTCTGGGCTCTCCGTTTGCCGCCTCGTTGCGGCATCCACGTGGTGGTGCAGCGGCGAGCCCATGAGCGCGCCCCCGAGCGTGAACTGCGCCGAGCGAAGGTCCACGCGGCTTCGCAAGAGCTTTGGGACCTCGCGGGCGACGCCCAGGGGCCCCTCGTCCTCGGGCAGACGCTCGAAGACGTAGCTCAAGTTGCTTCCTGGGTCTTGGACCCTTTGATCCAAGAAAGCCGCATACTCTTCCAAGGGCATCTCCACAGGAGCTACCTCCCTGAAATCGTTCTCGTAGGGCGTCGAATACGCTGTCACCCTGCGACTACCAGCAATTCCGAGCAATCCTTGGCGAGTGAACTTGGCCCTGTCGGAGGCACTCATCCTCACACCACCACGGATCAGCAAAGGCCTCCGAGCGGAATAATAATGCTTCTCGAAAATCTCCCAATCAAACTGCCCGACGGAAATGGAATCGATCTCACAGACGGGCTCCTCGGTCAGCCATTCTTCAGGCACTCCTGCGAAACGTGGAGAGGCAGAGAGTGTCTTGAAAGGTGTGGATCCTACATATCTTCTCCTGTTCGGCTCGAACTCCAGCCGCCGTCGTCCGAGAGGGCGCTGACGCTCTGTCTCTTGCCTCCACAGCACCCCGAAAACTCGCACAGCCCGAAACCAAACAAAGGGCAGAGAAAAAAAAACAGGATGAGAACAAAACAAACTTTGCGGCCTTCGGCTTCAGCCGCCGGCGGAAAGAGGCCGCTGGCACTTCCTGTGGGCGCTTCGCTGCTGGTCGGCCCGCCTCGGATAGGATATGCGACTCGCAGAGCCTCGGCTTCAGCTTCACGGCGCCGGCGCCCCGGGCGCCCGCGCAACTTTGAGACCAGTGGCCCAGGGACTGAATGGCGTCGGCCGTCTCCGCAAAGCCCGCAAGCCGAGCCAGATCCTCGGCGGTATATCCTGACAGCATTCTGCGCTTCGCCTACCTAAACGGCTTACACATCCCAACGACATGCCGCACTGTGTGGGTGCTTGCTGTGCGATCGATGATCTCTTGTCCTCCTGTATCCAGTGCAGCGGCAAAGAACTGTCTATCCGCCTCCCCCACTGCCCCTAAGAAGAGCCGTGCCAAGCGCGTGTTCCCTTGCGTCGCAGCGAGGTGGAGCACCGTGCGCTTCCGGCGATCTCTGGCTGTCAACAGCGCCGCCGTCGCCTCCGGCACGGCCTCGCAGGCCTGGAAGATGCTTCGGACCACCTTCGCCAGCTCGTGCTCCAACAAATCCTCCAGAGGCCGCAGCCGCATCGCCTTGCAGGGGGCACAGCGCAGCGGACCCCCCTAAAGCAAGGGCTAAGAGATTCTGCGCGCTCGCTCCGCCTGCTCCTGGTGGTTCCGGAGGTCCTGACAAAAGGCAGCACTCCAAAAACCCGAAACCCCACACGGCCGCTGCTTGCAACATCCTGTCAGCTGTGCTCAACTCTCTCCGGCTCCCTCTCGGCTCCCTCTCCCGGCTGAGCCCGGCTCTCCTGCGCCTGGAGGCGCTCCAACAAGGTCTGCAGCTCGGGGTCCTTGCCGCCGTCGCCGGCCTCCTTCTCGAGCCTCTGGAGCCACTTCTCCAGGACGCGGAAGCCGGTCTTCGACTGCCGCTCGAGCTCCGGGAGACTGTAGCGCTGTAAAGGCGCCAGGTTGTCCAGGTTGACCCGGAAGAAGTCGAAGGGGCTCCAGGCCTCGACGCCTTCCGCGATGATCGCCTGGCAGTAGGCGCTGGTCCAAGGATGCTTCGTGTCCAGGAGCTGCGTCAAAGCAGGCCAGGCCGAGGGACCAAAGTCGTAGAGCTGCCGGAAGACCAGGTCCACGGTGCGCAAGAAGCCGCTGCTGGTGTAGTTCTGTCTGCCGCTTTGGTAGAGCACCTGAAGGATCCGGTCATGCTCCGGGAAGAAGAGCCCCAGCTTCTCGGGGAAGGGGTTCTCCCGATAGCTCCTCTTGAACTCTTGCATCAATTCACGAGACCCGGCCGCACCGGTCAGGCTCTGCGCATAGCCCAGGGCCCCTAGGGAGCATGACCTCGAGGGCCTGGGCCTGGGCCTGGGAGGCCCGCGGAATCCGACGAAGCCAACCCCGAGGCCGAGCGCAAGGAAAGCCAGGAGTCGGCTGCCCGCGCGCCGCGAGGTCCCAGACATGGCGCTTCAGCTGCGGAGGCTCCGCTCACGCTTGGGGTGCTACGCAGTGCTACAGTGCCTTGGGGGCGTGAGACCTTGGACTCGCCAAAGAGGTAGGGAGGTCCTGTCCTGTCCGCTGTGTCCTACACATCTTGCAGGCTGTCATACACCGAGAGTCTCAAGGAAACAAAGCAGAACTCCACAGAGCTCAGAGACATTCACAGACTTTGTCGCGCTTCTTGGCAGCGGAAAATTTGGGCGTCTACCTGAGAGAAAGACACCATTGAGAGAGCAGACAGCAGACACTTCAAGAGCATCTTCAAGCTTCCTGCCGAATGCTCATCACTGTGTCGCCAAGGCGTGATCGAGATGAGTCCCTGAGATTTTCGCACTCTCGGTATACACAGGCTTCTTTTTGCTGCAACTGCGCTCTCGGCCGCGTGCTTGACCATTTGCAGGATACCAAAGGATCCCGTGAGCAACTCCGCCACGAGGGAGGTGAAGAGGAGCCAAACGAAAGGCGACACCTGGCACTGTGCGTGGCACTGTGCGTTGACGTCAGGGCAACTGCGGCATCTGAATAGCTGCCACGGCACATCTACACCAGCTTCAGGCTTTAGAATCATGCGCCTTGGAACTTCATGCTGCCAAAATGCCAGTGCGCACATTCTTCTGAGTGGCGGGCGTGGGACCCAGGACGAACTCGGTTGGGTAATGGAAGATTGCATAGGGCCAATCCGTCGTCTTGAGCTGGCAGGCAGCATTGCATTCCACATCAGCTGTGGTCGTGAGCCCACGTGGGTGTTTCCATGCCTTCGGGAACTGTGCTAGCAAGACCTGGAGTCAGCTGGCTGAGGAGTCTCTGCTGTCGTTACATCGGCCCACTTGGGCCCTGGCCCTGGCTAGGAAAAGTAGCTGGTACACGTTGAGCAGAGGCTTCAAGAAGTCCAAGCTGAAATTGCGACGCGCGAAATTGCGGCGGGCGCGAGGCTTCGACCCTTTCTCGGGTGCCGACAGCTGGCCCGCGACCTCGGGCTCGAGCTGCAGCCTGCGAGGTGCGCGTACACGGCCCGCTAGAGGGGCCTATTGTAGCCATGCATCCGCGCCCCCGTCGCCTGGCGATGATCCAGGAGCCACCGGCACCCACAGCCAGCACCACGGTAAGGAGTCCCGCCCAGATGCCCGTCCATTCCAGGAAGCCTTATAAGAAGCCAGCGCCGTCGCTGCGCTCCGTCGCTGTGCTCTCTGCTCTGCTCTGCTCTCTCTGCTCCTGGCCCAGGCCGCCGTCGGACCACGGGTTCGGCCTGGCTCTCCGTTGGTTCACCACGGCACACTCCGATCGTCAGACGTCGGATGAGCTCCGAGCCCCGGGGGCAAGAGGTCTTCGTCCTAAGTGGCTGCAGGAAGGGGGGAGCAGAAGGAGGGGCACGCTGATGCGCGCAACGGGGGGCCGGGCGAGCCCCGGCAGGTCCGGCAGGTTCACCTCACGCACCTCCGACACAGCCCCCGATATCGGCTACAGCCGCGAGCCGCTCGCTGACGCTCGCCGGTGAGCTGTGCCGCGTCGTGAGCTTGTTCGTTCAGCTTTTCGGATCTTGCTTATGGGCCTTATGGGGCATGTTTATTAATGTTATTAATGCAGTTTGGGTCGGGTTGTGGATACCCCAAACTTGTGGGGAGCTTGTTGTTTGAGAGCCCTAGACCCTTGACCCTTGAACCGTCGTCGGCTTGCGCTGCAACTCCCCATTCACAAGGGCCTGGACTTTTGCTTTGACTTCTCCTTCACCGCTTTCTTCCTGACGCCAACATGGCGGAACATAGGAAGGGGAACTGTTGAAGTGCAACTCGGCTCCTCCTGATCGGTGCCGAAGTCCGGCAAATCCGGCAAGTCTGCCAAGTCCGGCAAGACCTCTTCCAGCATGCCCTATGCAACGTGAAAAGCTGAGTTGAGGAGCTGATGGGTTGCCTCTTGCACGTTCCTGGAAGATCCTCCATGGACTATGAAGACACGGAAACTCACCTTTGCTTTGACGTGTCCTGAGACACGTTGCCAATCGTACTGGTCGTAGTCTTCCGACCTCAGCTAACGTCGTCATTACCCGACCGATCTCCCTCTTCTGGTGCCTTCGCCTGAGGTCAAGACTGCTTTCCTTCTGCTGCCCGAATGGTCTTTCGACTGGACGAAACACCGGTCTTGGAGCCAGCCTGGCATCAGCGGTCGCGCCGCGAGATGCCGCAGCCTATTGGAGTCGTCTCAACTTGGGCCCGTGCAGGAACGAAGACAGTCGTAACTACAGTGCTCACTACGGCTGTGCTGACCAGGAACAGGAGAGTTCTGACCTGCCAGAAAAAGATTTTCACACCTCGCAGCGCTGCTTGGACATGGCCTGTCGACGAGGCCATGCAGGAAAACCTGACCATGGAAGCACCGCTCGTGTACATGCATGGGAATTTGCATCAAACGGCCCTGCCTCGTCTGTCGTTGGATCTCATGGTCATTGCTTCGAACTGATTATGAAGTTGGTTGTTTTTGTTTGATCAACTGCTTGCCGTTGTCTGTTCCATAGTATGGGTAACCACAATTGCACCTTTGTCGAAATGCAAGACCAAATTGCATGGCACAGCTTTTCTGCCACGCGTGTACTGAAGCGCCAATCCTACGGGAATTCCTGACAATGGGGCATCCAAACATATCGAAATGGTGTTGAGTTGGACAATTCCGAGATCATACATACATAAGTTCAGCCAGCGTATACATATATACATATATACATA